CATTAGAAGATCAATATGATTTTACAGGTATTGTAGATCGTATTTTTAGACCATCATTTTTCTCCTGGGTAGTAAATAATTCAACCATTTTTTTATCAAAAAAATCGAATTACGTTGTTCGTTCTGTAATCCGATGGTGCCACCATTGACCACTTATTATAGGATCTGCAAACTTTTTTTTTTTTTTGACCGTCTTGTAGGAGAGTTTTTTGCAAAACTTTTCACAGATAAAAAAAATGGGACGTGATTCCTCCTGAAAATTAGCTTGACATATAAATTGACAGATGGAAAAATCAAGACCTGATTTCTTCTGATTAATCCAAAATCGACAGATAAAAACAGGACGTGATTCTTCCCGGTTAATCTGTGGCTGGCTAAAGGCTACAGATTCAAAACTTCGATGTTCCTTCCAGGCTTAATTTGCATAAATCGGGCAGATAAAACAGGACGTGATTCATTTCCTGGTTAATCCCGTGATATACACGACAGATAAAACAGGAAGTGATTCCTCCTGGTTAATCATGATATAAATCCCGACAGATAAAACAGTGACGTGATTCTTCCCGCACGGGGTGATATAAATCGACAGATAAACAGGACGTGATTCTTCCCAGTTAATCTTGATGACACCGGACAGCTCCATAAAACAGGACGTGATTTCTCCTGGTTAATCATGATATAAATCGCATAAAACAGGACGTGATTCCTGCAAAATCGATGGACGTGATTTCTTGATTGGATCTGACAGATTGGGGACAGATAAAACAGGACGTGATTTCTCCGTTTAATCATGAAAAAAATCGACAGATAAAAAAGTGACGTGAAAACTCCTGTGTGCATGATGATAAAATCGGACAGATAAAACAGGACTGATTCCTATGCAGAGGTTGCATTCAGATTTTAAATGCGAATTTAAAATCATCAGTGTGATTTGTTATTTTCTGGTTATAGATTGATGATAAATTCGACCAGATAGGAAACAGCCGTAATCATTCGTTTTTTTATTCGTTCCACTGATAGAAACAAAAAAAAAATCCAATTAGATAATCAATATGATTGTTAAAACAGGTATTCCTCTAGATCGATATAAATTTTAGACCATCATTTTTATCCTGGATAGTAAATAATTCAAAAAACAGGATAGATTCATATTAAAAAAAAAATAATTACTGATTCAGGTTAGATATTGCAAGGCAGCAATGCTAACATTGCCTCCACTTATTATAGGATCTGCAAAAAACTTTTTTTTAATCTTGATTTTTTTGACGACAGATAAAACAGTCTGTAGGAGAGTTTTTTGCAAAACTTTTCACAGATAAAAAAACAGGACGTGATTCCTCCTGGTTAATCTTGATATAAATCGACAGATAAAACAGGACGTGATTCCTCCCTGGTTAATCATGATATAAATCGACAGATAAAACAGGACGTGATTCCTCCTGGTTAATCTTGATATAAATCGACAGATAAAACAGGACGTGATTCCTCCCGGCTAATCTTGATATAAATCGACAGATAAAACAGGACGTGATTCTCCTGGTTAATCATGATATAAATCGACAGATAAAACAGGACGTGATTCCTCCTGGTTAATCTTGATATAAATCGACAGATAAAACAGGACGTGATTCCTCCTGGTTAATCTTGATATAAATCGACAGATAAAACAGGACGTGATTCCTCCCGGTTAATCTTGATATAAATCGACAGATAAAACAGGACGTGATTCCTCCTGGTTAATCTTGATATAAATCGACTGATAAAACAGGACGTGATTCTTCCTGGTTATTCATGATATAAATCGACTGATAAAACAGGACGTGATTCCTCCTGGTTAATCTTGATATAAATCGACAGATAAAACAGGACGTGATTCCTCCTGGTTAATCTTGATATAAATCGACAGATAAAACAGGACGTGATTCTTCCTGGTTAATCTTGATATAAATCGACAGATAAAACAGGACGTGATTCTTCCTGGTTAATCTTGATATAAATCGGCAGATAAAACAGGACGTGATTCCTCCCGGTTAATCCTAATCTCTATTCTAACTCTTCTTGCAAATTCCTGGCTGCTGCTGATTTAAGCAGTTTCATGAACTTCTACTTCAAAGGCTTCCAGATACCTTGTTGAATCCAAACCACTAATTGTCCACGTGCCCCCGAAGCAGGCGAACGTTCCCCCGCACTCCTCTCCCCGATCCCCGTCTGCCAATCTGTGTCATGTTTTTGGACATCCGATGAATGGGGGGGGGGAATGGGGGAGGACAAGCCCCTCTGTCATTCATGGGACTGTCACCCTAATCATGGCACCGCAAAGGGCGGAAGACACCAGAACAAACATCCGTCACTTCGTGGTAAATAAAAATCCATTACACACACAGAAAAGAAAAAAAGTACAGGAAAGTCGAGTGATTAAATCACATTAGAGGCGGTGAGCGAGGGAGAAGAATTAAACGCCTTTTTCTGCAGCCATCCGCCGCTTAACCCTCCAGCTGCCCCGAGAGCAGCCAGTTTAGGAGTTCACTAAGATTTCACAGAAGCTTTCACCCCCTCAATGCCGGGCACCTTCACCCCCTTCCTGCCCATTTACAGCTTTCAAAGCTGTTTAAATGACAATTGCGCGGTCATGCAACACTATATCCATATGAGATTATTATAATTTTTTTCACACAAATAGAGCTTTCTTTCGGTGGTATTTAATCACCACCAGGGTTTTTATTTTTTTGCTAAATAAATGAAAAAAGACCCAAAATTTTGAAAAAAAAATGCATTTTCTTAATTTCTGTTATACAATTTAGCAAATAAATAATCGTTCTTTATAAATTTAGGCCAAAATATATTCTGCTATATTTCTTTGGTGAAAATAACCCAAATCAGTGTTTATTATTTAGTCTGTAGGAAAGTTATTGAGTCCACAAATTATGGGAGATATATCTAAAAATCGACCAATCCTGTTGTACTGAGGGGCCGATCTCATTTCTTGAGGCCCAAAAACACCAGGACAGTACAAATGCCCTTCCCCCCAAATGACCCATTTTTGGAAAGTAGACAGTTTAAGGTATTTCGTTAGAGGCATGGTGAGTTTTTTGAAGTTGCAATTTTTTTGGTCATTTTTTTGAAAATGAGTATTTTTTAAAAAAATTAAAAAATGTTTTTTTTTCCAACATACTGTTGCCAGTGCAGTACATCATTATCAAATAATGGGTGTGGTAGTGACCGGGGGACACTGGCTGGTGACATTATGTAAACCAAAAAAAATTATAATTATTTTCAATTTTTTTTTTATTTTTTATAACATTTTTTCTTTCTTTTTTAACATTTTTTTCTTACATACAGTGACCAGAGTAAGATAATGTTACCATAGTAACACTGTACTATTCTGGTAATTGATCAGGATTTTTTTTATTTTTTTTTTTACACACTACGATTGCTTATAACTGAATTTTAGAGTTAGAAGCAACCATTTTTTTTCTGAATGAAAACTATTCTTACTATTGCAATTAGCTGTGATTGGTCACAGCTAATCACATGGTACAGATGAGGTATGATTGGCTCTGTCTGTCCCATGTGATCACTGTGACCGATCACAGAGCTCATCACAAAAGTACAAACAATGAAAGGCATGAATCAAAGCCTTTCATTGTGTACAATTGTCATGGGAGCTGCTGTGATTGGCTACAGCGATCACATGGTATTGGAAGCGGGCAAGCACAGTGATCTGTCATCGGTTGTGTCTGGTGGACACAGTGGGTGACAGATCACTCCAGAGTGCGATATGACGTCCTACCAGGATAATAGGGTTCCTGTCCAGCCGTCATATTACAATAGTCCGGAAGGAGTTAAATACCCAAAAATAAAAATGTAATATGTTGCAGCTTATCAGTCTTAAGATGTGTTGGCTGCAATAGTTTTCTTTTTTTTCCTTTTCATCACCTGGGGACCCATTTCCTGTCCTGGGGTGACAACGATCACTCACTGTACTGTATTTATGGAGAAGCACCGTTGTCACCCTAGGCTGCTGCCTTGATTTGGGCAACAAACACCTCCCCCTCTCCTCATCTCCATTACATAGAAGGATGTTACTTTGTATTCTACGAAAGATAACAGAGAAAGCTGTGAAATTTTATCAGTTTACTACACAGAAAGTGACAAGGATGCATGATTTCTAGCAGGATCAACAGGGAACAGGAAGTAGTTCCTCTTTTTAAAGGCCCCAGCAGAGAGGTGGGTTGGGGAAATTCGGGATGCAGAGTTCTTCCCCAGCAGTCCTTAAGAGACATATAAAGCTTGGGGGACACTTTAACATCTGACTTACATAGGTTGGGCAACCTGCAGCCATGGGAGACTACAGATTCCAGCAAGCAGATATAGCTGATGGATCATTCTATGGCCTCTGAAAGACTACAATTCCCAGCATGCTTTGCCCACCTGATGCTCTTTGGCTGCCGGAGGACTACATCCCAACATGCCTTGCTAATAGGTATCCCTGCATAGTAAACCTGACCAGGCTTTGGCTCTCTGGCTGGCAGTTTGATCAGTGCTTGTCAATATGATCTTTCCTGAGCAGCAAAGTATGACTGACCTATGATTCTGTCACAAAGCCATTCTCAACCAGGGATCCATAGGGTTTCTAGAAGTTCCATGAGCTTTGGCTGATTGACTTACCATTGGTGTGTCTGCATAGTTATGGATCCAATGCCAATTGGAAGAGTCAGCAGCATTACACCAATGATCTTTGAGCATTCTCCTTATTGACCACCAATGTCAGGGACATTCTTCTCTTTGACCACCAAAATAAGGAGCATTCTTCTTCCCCATTAACCACCAATGCAAGGTGTTTTCTCCCCATTGACCACCAATGTAAGGTGTTTTCTTCCCATTGACCACCAATGTAAGGTGTATTCCTCCCATTGACCACCAATGTATGAAGCATTCTTCCCACTGACCACCAATGTAAGGAACATTCTTCACATTGACTGCCAATGTAAGGTGTATTCTTCATACTGACCACCAATGTAAGGAACATTCTTCACATTAACCACCAATGTAAGGTGTATTCTTCCCATTGACCGCCAAATTAAGGTGTTTTCTTCCCACTGACCACCACTGTAAGGTGTATTCTTCCCACTGACCACCAATGTAAGAAGCATTCTTCCCACTGACCACCAATGTAAGAAGCATTCTTCCCATTGACCACCATTGTAATTAACATTCTTCCCATTGACCACCAATGTAAGGTGTATTCTTCCCACTGACCACCAATGTAAGAAGCATTCTTTCCCACTGACCACCAATGTAAGAAGCATTCTTCCCATTGACCACCAATGTAATTAACATTCTTCACATTGACCACCAATGTAAGGTGTATTCTTCCCACTGACCACCAATGTAAGAAGCATTCTTCTCATTGACCATCAATGTAAGGGGCATTTTTCTCAGTGTGGATTCACACATGTGCGGTGCAAATTGCAGCTCCGTTTTCAACAGCCAATTGACAAAGTAGTTGTTCAGCGTTTCAGGTCAGGTTTAGATCAGGTTCAGCAGCGAAAACCATCCTGAAATCGTGTTCACAAACTCATGACATGTGCGATGTAGAAGTGGCTCCCATAGCAGTCAATGAGCCTGTAATCTGCACCTGAACTGGACCGCACTGCTCCGATATCAGACAGGACTCCTTTTCAATCTGCACTGCCAGTGCACCGGTCCTATGTGAACAGGCACCGTAGGAAGCAATGTTATTGCACATGTCATTGCAATCCTCACATACGTGAACCGGCTCTCATTGACCACCAATGTAAGGGGCATTCTTCCCATCTAACCACCAGTATAAGATGTATCCTTCTCATCGACCGTCAGTGTATGCGGTAATCATCCGAATGACCAAAGAACACATTTTAGCAGGGGTTCCCTGAGACCTGATGATTATTTCAAGAGTTCCTGTGAGGTGAAAATGTCGAAAAGGCTGCCCTGATAGCTAGGGAACTTACCTTGAATGACCCAAAGCTCATAGTACTTAGTCACATCCAACTGCGCTTGTTCTGTAATGTTCAAGACATTTCGGAGCTACTCAAAGCCATTTCTTCAGTTCCATTGAGAGTCAGGGAACATACCCCAACATATATCCACATAGGTAGCACAGACTTCATCCGAACACCATGGAATATGTCAAGACAGATGTCAACTGCCCAAGTCCAGTTCAACGTGACAAGCTACTGCTAGCTATGGGTCATTCAAGGTAAGATCCAGTGGTGTATTTAGGTGTTGTGCTGCCCTGGGCAACACAAAAATAATCTGCCCTCATGGACACCGACCAACACCCCCCCTTCCCCCTCCCGCGGAGAGAGGCTGACATTGACCAACAACACCCCTGCCCTCCACCTGAGAGAGCCTTCCACTACCCCCCCCCCCCCCCCCCCCCCCCCCCCAGCGATTGAGGGAGAAAAGACACTCATCTTCACAGATCCGGACATCCCCGGGAACTAGAGTCAGGCTCTACATACACCATCAAGCAGCCAGAAGCCTCTCTCGGAATCCCACCTGGTTCCCATGGTGCGTGTATCCCTTCTTTCATCCCTTCTTCTGGGGGGAGGTGCTGCCCCTAAAAAAAATGCCACCCTAGGCAGGTGCCTTGTGGTAAATACGCCCCTGGTAAGATCCCTAGCTATTAGGGGATCCTTCTCAACATTTTTACCCCAGAGGAACTCTTAAAATAATCTTCAGGTCTCAAGGAACTACTAGCTACACCATGACCTGGATAAATGAGAACCTTATCAAGCATACAGTTGACCCATCATGGCTCGACCAGCAAGGAACAACAAGTCTCAGCAGCTGGCGGCTTGGAAACACGTTGTAAACTCTGCAAAGGGTCACCGCCCCTATAAACCTGGTTCCCATGGTGCGTGTATCCCTTCTTTCATCCCTTCTTCTGGGGGGAGGTGCTGCCCCCTAAAAAAAAAATGCCACCCTAGGCAAGTGCCTTGTTTGCCTTGTGGTAAATACGCCCCTGGTAAGATCCCTAGCTATTAGGGGAGCCTTCTCAACATTTTTACCCCAGATGAACTCTTAAAATAAAATCTTCAGGTGTCCGGGATCTACTAGCTACACCATGACCTGGATAAATGAGAACCTTATCAAGCATACAGTTGACCCATCATGGCTTGACCAGCAAGGAACAACAAGTCTCAGCAGCTGGCGGCTTGGAAACACGTTGTAAACTCTGCAAAGGGTCACCGCCCCTATAAACAAAGGACATAACAGGTTTACCCGAGTCACAAATTTGCCCCCAAGCCAAACAGGACCTATAATATTACCCAGCAAGAACCTTTCTCTGGCAATGTGGAAGATCTGGTCTCGCTGGGTACCATGTAAGGAGTAGGAGGTTGTAAAGCTGTCATGCTGTAATATATGACCAGAAACTGCCGCACACATTGCTAGGTCCTCCCATCGCCTCTCTGACTTCTCTTGGTAGGAAACGCTGATGTAGGATGATAATAGTGCAATACCAGAGCACGGATTCCAGAAGAAAGGTCTAGTAATTACACGCACACAATACCCTGCCAGGGCTATACTTAGCATGAAGGGAAGCTGGCTCATGCCTAAGGGGGCATCAATTAGGGGGAGTGTAAAAAACAGTTTCATGATAATTAAGATGGGGATATGCAAAGGTTTCACTTTAATCTGAATTGGTCATTGATCTTTTGGCCACTACCTATGTCCAGGAAAGAAAAGAGAGAGATGGGATAGTGGTTAGGGGAGCAACTGCAAAAAACAATAAAAAAGAGGGCGCACTGGCCTAGTGAGCACCATTCAGGAATCTGTGCTGGCGGTGCTCACTTGGCGCATCACCCTTCGGGTCTCACCCACCTATGTAATTGTTGATTGAAAACATTTTATCGCTGTAATTCTCCTTGGAATGTGAATATTTTTATGTTTTTAACATTTGGAATAAAAACTGCCTTGGGATAATGCACTAGGCTAGTGCACCCTCTTTTTTCTTGTGTTATGCAGTTGCTCCTGGAATACCCTAGCCAGTAGAGGGCAGCAAAGCCGCTTTGATCTCTTCATTCTTTGAATACACATCCAATAGATTGACACCAGCCCTCCACACTAAAGCGCAGGAACTTTGCTATTGTATTTAGGGTGGGTAGGGAAGACCAGCCGGTGACAGGATGATGGATAGGAATAGGGTGGGTAGGGAAGACCAGCCGGTGACAGGATGATGGATAGGAATAGGGTGGGTAGGGAAGACCAGCCGGTGACATGATGATGGATAGGAATAGGGTGGGTAGGGAAGACCAGCCGGTGACAGGATGATGGATAGGAATAGGGTGGGTAGGGAAGACCAGCCGGTGACATGATGATGGATAGGAATAGGGTGGGTAGAGAAGACCAGCCGGTGACAGGATGATGGATAGGAATACACTCCCTTGGGATAATGCACTAGGCTAGTGCGCCCTCTTTTTTTCTTGTATTTTGCAGTTGCTCCTGGAATACCCTAGCCAGTAGAGGGCAGCAAAGCCGCTTTGGTCCCTTAATTCTTTGAATACACATCCAATAGATTGACACCAGCCCTCCACACCCATGTGCATATTGTATTTAGGGTGGGTAGGGAAGACCAGCCGGCAACAAGATGATGGATAGGAATACATCAGCTTGTGTTCTGTCCAGACAGCAGTTGGTACAAGTAGGCCGGTAATTCTTTCTATGATTTCACCAAAAACAGGAAAGAAAGAACCAGTTGCATGGAGATCCTTTAGGAAGTTGTACTACCTAGAGTCTGGGCCAAGCCAAGGGGTAGGCAGAAGAGGCAGACGCCTTGGGCGCTTCAGCAGGAGGGGGGGGGGGGGCAAAAAGGGCAGGACCTACAAAACTATGCTACAGAAGTAGTTTACAGCTTTTGGCCTTGTCAAGTTGGGTACTAAATGACCTCCTCCTAACACACTGCCTAGAGTAGCCCTAAAGGGTTGTCAGGCTTCACTTGCTGATAGATAGATAGATAGATAGATAGATAGATAGATAGATAGATAGATAGATAGATAACAGATGGATAGTTTATTTTTTAATGAATAACTGGGATGTCACTCACTGAGTCACAATGCACTGACAAAGCTGATACTTTAGATCCCTGATACCCAAACTGTGGCCCAAGGACTGTATGTAGTCCTATGGTACATTTGTGTAGCGCTCAGGACCACTGTAGATAGTTTTCTGTATTTCCTCTATTGCTCTGTTATAGCAGTGATCTCTAGCAGTCTCTTGTTTTGTGTTCCCAGGCTATGACTTTCACCTAAAGCATGCCCCCAGTTATAAACAACACCTATGGAATATGCTCAGTCTCTAACCATCACCTATGGCATGCTCTCGGCCTTTGACCATCATTTATAGCATGTTCTCAGCCTCTGACCATCACCTTTAGCATGTTCTCAGTCTCTGACCACTACCTATGGCATGTTCTTTGCCTCTAACCATCAACTTTGGCATGTTCTCTGCCTCTGACCATCATCTATAGCAGGTTCTCAGCCTCTGACCATCACCTATAGCAGGTTCTCAGCCTGTGACCATCACCTATGGCAGGTTCTCAGCCTCTGACCATCACCTATGGCAGGTTCTCAGCCTCTGACCATCATTTATAGCATGTTCTCAGTCTCTGACCATCACCTTTAGCATGTTCTCAGTCTCTGACCACTACCTATGGCATGTTCTTTGCCTCTGACCATTACCTATAGCAGGTTCTCAGCCTCTGACCATCTTCTATAGCAGGTTCTCAGCCTCTGACCATCACCTATAGCAGGATCTCAGCCTGTGACCATCACCTATGGCAGGTTCTCAGCCTCTGACCATCACCTATGGCAGGTTCTCAGCCTCTGACCATCACCTATGGCAGGTTCTCAGCCTCTGCTCATCACCTATGGCATGTTCTTTGCCTCTGACCATCACCTATGACATGTTCTCTGCCTCTGACCATCAACTATGGCATATTCTCAGCCTCTGATCATCACCTATGACATGTTCTCAACCTCTGACCATCACTTGTGGCATATTCTCCTTCTCCATCCATCTCCTTTAACAGGGGTCTCCAAACTTTCTTTACAAAGGGCCAGTTTACTGTGCTTCAGGCTTTTTTTTTTGGGGGGGGGGGGGGGCAAACTGTGGCCAGTGGGAGTAGAAAAGATACTGATGTCAATGTAAATAAACAATGCCTCATCCAGTAGGAGGAATAGTTTGTGTCTATGGGAGGAATTGTGCTCCATTGTTGGTGTCATTGGGAGGAATTGTGTCCCATCATTGGTGTCATTGGGAGGAATTGTGCCCCATTGATGGTGTCAGTGGGAGAATTATGCACCATTGTTGGTATCAGAGAATGAAATAGTGCCCCAAGGGCTAGATAAAAGCAAGCAAAGGGGCGCATTCAACCCCAGGCCACAGTTTGAAGACCACAGTTCTATAGCATGTTCTAAGCATCTCCTATAGCACCAGGGGCGGACTGACAACTCATGGGGCCCCCGGGCAATAGGGGATCATGGGGCCCCTGTGTCCTTGGCCAAACTCAAAAAAGCCTATGAAAAAGGTACCAGGGGCATCTCATGGGGCCCCCTACTGACCCCGGGCCCTCGGGCAGTGCCCAAGTCTCCAAATGGTCAGTCCGCCCCTGCATAGCACGTTCTTCATCTTCGCCCATCATCTATAGCATGTTTTCAGTCTCTGACCATCTCCTATAGCATGTTCTCAGTCTCTGGCCATCTCTTATAGCATATTCTCAGTCTCTGACCATCTCCTATAGCACTTTCTTCTTCTTCGCCCATCATCTACAGCATGTTCTCAGTCTCTGACCATCTCCTTTAGCATGTTCTCAGTCTCTGACATCTCCTATAGCATGTTCTCAGTCTCTGACATCTCCTATAGCATGTTCTCAGTCTCTGACCATCTCCTATAGCATGTTCTCAGTCTCT